TTTTTTCTCATTCGACCTTTTTTATACCCGTTTCCATCTCCAGTCCCCGGCAGGCATGCATGTCCATCTCTAACAGCCTTTCAAGCTTGCGTTCAACGAAACTGTTGTATCACATAATCTTCCTCTTGTTGACCAAATTTCTATTGCCGTCAATCCTATTTCTATAAGATTCATAATCTACTGTTCACACTGAATTTCTATTTTTGTCTCTTGGTTCTATATCATCCCACTCCTGCTTTGATCATTCCTTGAGGTCCTCAAAATCTTTCCATCATCCCTTCATATCACAAGTCAAAATTTAACTGATCATGATAAATAAATTATCGTTTTGAGTATTTTACAAATCAAAATAAAAGTTATTTCTGCGAATTCGAGAAGAAATTTACGGTAGTCTATTATTTTATTGGTAAATATCCTTGAAAGAAAAATGTGTGTGTGTGTGCCTAAGAGGAAAAAAAATTAGGAAAAGTAGTAAATTTCTCATCTGGGATTGTAATCAGTTTCTGACAGAATCATGTGAGGAAAATATTCCCGAACTACAAAGAAAACATTCCCAACCATTTCATTATTAGATTATATAAATTTATATAATTTCGTAAAAGAGAAACTTCCGTCATACAACTTACCATTACAATATATGCTGACCTCTAAACACAGGTAATTTGGTTTTAAACACAAGTAAATAGTATTCTGAACTTTTGTAGATGATTGATAAATAGCTTAGTAAAATCAAAACCACTGTTATACAAAATGAGATGACGGTACTGCATTTTGAAGCAACCATTTAGTTATTTGTATTCATTAAGACAAATATGGGCACTGACTTCGAATTAAACTCACGACTTCTGGCCCCTTAAAATTTTAGAAATTAATCTATGGCTGTACTTTGTCTCTTAAAAAAAATTCAAATGGCCTGAAGGTTCACTTTTTTTAAAAAAAAATTATGAAATTCTGTAATTAAAATTTAAGCATTTCAAAATGATTTGCTCTACGTAAAATTGTGGGTCTGTGAGCGGAAAAATTTAGTAGATTATAGATTTCTATGAGTTCAGTGATAAAGAATGCAATTTATTATTCTTAATATTATTATTAATATTTAAAAACATATTAATGAATTTTAATTGGTCATTTAATATTTTTAAGAGTTGTTAAAATCAATGTAATTTATAATTTTAAAATTACGGGAATATATCTAGTTTCTTATGGAACTAGTGCAATCAGACAACCATCATGAGAAACATGAACCAATAAAGCTAACTAATGGGTTGAGCCCCCTGATCGCTAACGCTCGCCAACCCTCGAAAATTGCTTCGCAAACCAAGGTCACTTCGCTCGCTACTAACTTAAGTACATTGCAAATGCACAAAATTCTAAGAATTCAAAACAATCATTCAAATCCATATAACAAAATTTTTTAAAAAAAAAAATTACATCTTTTTAGTAAATGCTAAGACATTAAAATAAATTTATCAAAAATCGTCAAATAATTTCTCGTCAAATAAATTCGTAATATATAAATTCGTGAAAAAAAAAGCACTTTCGACAAAATACTAAAATAGAGATCTATCGACTAAGACAACTCACTTATGCCTACCTTAATAGTATGAGATTGCCACAGCTGATAGGTTGAATTTCGGAAGAGATTCAGTTTCCGCTTTTATAAGCGTTATATGTTGAGCCACCTTAGCTAGATTAGGCATGTGACATTTTTAGCGGCAATCATTGATCGATTTTCTAGCGTTGCCATTCGGGAAATTTTAATGAGGTTTTTTTTGTCACCCTGTAAGAGAAATATATATATATAGATGTCAATTGCTGTAGTATCACATGATTCATTTCTAAATGTCATCGACACAATTCTTTAAGTTCGTTTTCTATGTCGATGATTTTAATTCGACTGTAGGCTTAAACAGAAAGCAATATTTAACATCTATAAACAGCGTGCTTGTAGCTTTGTCTTTGTAGCGTAAATCACGCCAACAACATAAATATTCGTAGCATTTAAAGTAAGAACGAGCATGCGTAGTTACGTGTTAAGCTACATCTTACAAACGGGAGCTAACTTAAAAGTGCTAAATCTGCCTATTTTTCCGTATTTCTAATACTTTCAAGGAGTTTTCCCATCTAATTTCTCTCATTGTTGTTTAAAACCGGATTTTTTTTGAAACCCACATTATAGAGCCGTTGCATATTTTTGAAATTTCCAAGCCGTAGGAAAATTATTTAATATTTACCAATTGGTTTGTTACAGAGAAAAAAAAATCTGACAAAACGGTAATGACGTTTGGTAAAATAGTATTGACATGAATAGTCGTGCATGGTAATGATATTTCTGGTAAAGAAAAACCATAATTGAGTAATAAATACTAAAATATAAGGTACTTAAACCATGCATTTGGTAAGTTTTTCTTTCATAGGGTAACGATTTACTAGAAATTCTGCCTTGAAAAATAATAGTTCTTATTCTCACACATGTAGGAGAAAATAGCAAACAAGAAAGTAAACTTAACCGAATAAATGGTTTCTATGCCATACTCTAAGGTATAATAATAACATTACCAAATTTTAGCACATACTTCAAAAACATATTTAATTGTTGATTTTACCAAAACCATTATTAAAGCGCTTCAGTAAAAATTATAGAGCTTTTTGGTGTTTCCATAGAACCATAAACGTAGTATATTTGACCATATTCTAACGATTTTGACCAAACTTTTTTTTCTCCAAGTGATTAAATTTAGCTTATTTAATTCGTGTTTTATTAATATTAAAGTAAAAAATTAGTGTCCTGGACGTGAAATTGTGGTCGATTGGGTACGACATCAGACTCGCTTCTTTTACATTATCAAACAATTATCTCTTCAAGTTGAAAAAAGTGCTTATGGTTTTTATTTACGTTTACTTTTTTTTTATATCCGTCGTTGAACAGCTGACCCAAATTTTGGGTTTACGACTACTAATGTTCAACTCCGTAGCCTTATAATTTTGATCCCAATCCAGAAGACAAGGAAACTTCTGGACCAGTTCCCCCAGAGGTATTGATTTGTGACGGGAACATGGAGGACTTAGCGACTCGACAAATTTAACGTGCACCAGTCACCATTTACTTCACGGGGAGTCTTCGGCCGGTAGTGATCGAACCCATGACCTCTTGGACATGGGCCCAGTGCCCTACCAAACAGGCTATCCCGGCCTTTATTTACGGTTTTCTATTGCAGTTTGAAGCAGAATATCCTACGAGTACTACCAACTATTTGGGGTTCATTATTTATAAAGCAATACGTTCACCATTTTTAGCAGGTTATGCACAATTAATCAAGCTGCTGGTGTTTTTATTTATATATTTATTTATTTATTCATTTATTTGAGGGAGTGATTTAGAGAAAGTACAAGGTGACAGAACCAGTTTAAAAGAATTATCTGAAATTATTATTTAACTTCTTTGTGACCTATGGTAAAACGTATAAAAGGGGTTCGCAGCAATGTTTATTTAACAGTATGATCAGAAAAGTCAAGCGTAACAGTTCAGTCCTTCCGCTTGAATTTTATAAATTTTCAACATTTTTGGATCAAGTTTTTCAAGATATATTAGAAGGTTCCACACCCAGCCAGCCCAACTCTCGTAATCAATTTCGCAGTTCCTTTCGAAATGTTACATAACTCACTCATTGGCTATTTACGTATTTTAGTCAAGCTTTGTATGGTGGTTCTTTTTTTAAAAGTGATCTAAAATTATGCAATACGTATGTTTATGCTGATTCTCGAAAGCATTTAATATGCACATTACGTGGCTGATTTGCATATTAATTAGAGTGACCGGTTAAAGGGTATGAAATCAAGATGATTTTTTTCGCTCTTCTCCAAACTCAACTCCGTAGCCTTGTAATGGTGATCCCAATCCAGAAGACAAGTGAACTCTTGGACCAGTTCCCCCAGAGGTCCGTTTCTCTCATTACATCTACTAATATGTTAAACATTTGATTGAATTAATTGATGATTTATTCACCAAAAAATAAATAAAGAATACAATAATTATTCCCTTAGCTGTAATAATATTTTAAACCTAAGTACTATATTTTTTAAAGTGATTGATGATTGATTCGATCAACTAAAATATTGATTGCTTGAATTCAATAACTTTATTTATTTATGACGAAATATTAATAAATAAAACTACGTTATTTTAAGCGTTCAGAAACGTTGCCAACATTGATTTTATTTTCACTTTAATAAGTACCTACTTAATAGGTAATGCTTAGATTACCTAAGTGGTATGCAGATTACTTAGGTGATTTGAAAAATGAAACAGTTTTTCGGAACTTTAACGGATTACCCTAGTTAACATACACATTGCCCAGACAGTCTATAGAATAACTGATTTCTGCACTATAGTGATAAAATATATATGTTGTGTAACCATTGCTTCCTAAATATTTCATTACCCATATAGTCTATAGAATAACTGATTTCAACACTTTAATGATAACATATATATGTTGTGTAACTATTGTTTCCTAAATATTTCATTCACTTTTTATTGATTTGATTTGTATACAATTCAATTCTATTTTGGAACTGTATCTGGAATAAATAATTCATAGAATTTTCTTATAAGAAACTTTTCTTATGAGAAACGGTACACGGTAGTTTTACATATGGACGGATTATAGAAACGGACTCAGTACTTTTACATCCTTTCGTATAAAACAATACTAAAACTATAATACTAAATAATTTAGGGTTTATATTATTTTAAACAGCATATTAAAGTACTCGGAATGCAAAATGTTAAAAAAAAAGATTTCTGCCAAGTAACGTTTGATAAGGGATAAATAAATTATCTTTTGGTAAATATTATAATAAATATTATTCATTTTACTTTGATGATAGCCAAAGACATACCTGAAACTTCTTTGATTATTAATGCATGCATCAAATTTCCTGCTTAATGACAATTTACGAAAATGAAATAGATAAATTATCATTTTATGACAGTGAAATGCGATACAAAATTTTTTTAATCAATTAAACATTTGTTTTTGCTTAAAAATTATAAATTTATTTACATATTGAAACACATATTATGTGAAACAAGTCATTCTTTTTAAACCCAACATCTAAACTATCAATGAAAGACCATGGTTGCAACTATGTACAATATTATGCAAACTTAAAAATTATAAATGTATTTACATACTGAAACACATATTATGTGAAAAAAATCGTTATTTTTAAACCCAACATATAAACTAACAGTGAAAGACCATGGTTGCAACTATTTCCAATATGATACAAACTTAAAAATTATAAATTTATTTACATATTGAAACACATACTATGTGAAACAAATCATTTTTAAACCCAGCATCTAACTATCAATGAAAGACCATGGTTGCAACCATGTACAATATTATACAATATTGTTTTTTAATATATATATTATACAATTAAAAAATGCTCATGTGAACTAAACATTTTATGATGTATATCACTTCATTTTTGAAGAGCAGCTGCTTCAGAAGTTGACAAGCAGGTAAATTTTGAGGTAAGTTTTCTTATTTACATGAAAATGATATGATTCACGAACCGCCTGGAGGAGGACGTGGTGATATTTTTAGTGGATCAATAAATTTCGTAGTAAGAAATGATGGGAATGGACATCATCGATAACCTGATGGTGGGTACAATGATGTTTCCAATCGATCCAGGTAATGATGTCTTTGAGGTTTTCCAACAAAAGGTTGAGGCATTGCAGTTGTAACGGTAACTAAGTACAATAGCGTATAAGATAACTGCAAAAAATAGAAGAACACATTATAAAAATAAAAAATTAAGTATATCAGGAAATTAAACCTCTCCTAAGTACTAATCATTAAAGATTGTTAGTGATCAAGACTAGGAAAAATAAAAAAATATTATTTTTAACGAAATATTCGAATTGTTATTATTGTATTATCCACATGAATTCTGCATTATTATTATTGTATAATTCATAAAACTATTTCTTCTGCATCTGGAATGAGATCTTTTGTTATACATTACTAGCAAGTGTTACTTGAGTAACATAATCATAGCTGGTCAGACAGCCCAATGTGCGCCAATGCCATCCTCTGAAGATTTCTCCATAATGACTTCCAATTTATCTTTGATCTCCAATTCTTTTCATTAGTTGCAAGAAAAGCAAACTCCACCGGGTCAGCCCATCTCAACCGTGGTCTTCCCCGCTTTCTTGTTCCAGTGGGTTTGAAAAGCTTTTTTTATTGTATTTTCATCACTCACTCGAATCACGTGGGCCATCCAATTCATTCTATTTATTTTTATGTATTTAATAATATCGGGTTGTTTATAAATTTTCTACAGTTCAAAGTTAAATCTCTTCTCCAGTTATTGTTTTTATTTACACCACCAAGTATACTCCGCTATATCTCTCTCTTAAATATGTCATAAGTTATGTCAAGACTGGCCTGACAAGAGTTTTGTAGATTAAGAACTTCGTTTTGTCTAGAAAGAAACCTAGATTTAATAAGTCTTCTCAGCCCTATTTGCCAGATAGAGTTGGTTTTTTATTTCAGGAGTCATTCTGCTATCAATAGTAATAATAGATCCTAAGTAAGTATAACTCCTTACTGTTTCAAATCCTTATAAACTCTTTACTGTTTGTACTTTAATTATTGTTACTTATTTTTCATGTTTTGAGGAGCTTGAATATTGTTTATCTATATTGTTTATCTGTATAAGTATTATGCACTTTAAAGCATTTATGCAAAATTGAATATTACTCAGAATTTTACAATTTCATTGTCATTCATGAAAAGGAGTTCACTTTGGTTCCCCTCGTTTGCTGTAAAGTGACTAAAGAAAGAATTTTGAAAAACCAGGAAAATCAAAACATAGCTACTCAAAATTGCCCCTATTGATATAGTTGGTGAAAATGTAAAAAAATTAGGTTGAGTAACTTCTCTCATTTTTAATGCAGCAATTACATTAAAAATGAGAATTACATTAAATAGTTTTTTTAAAGTCATTTTTATTGAAAATAAAAGAAACACACATGAAATAAATATAATATAATTTCTACTTTTTTTTAGAATTTCTGCATTTTAATATTCCTAAAAACATGACCTTTAAAACGATTTCTGCTGTTTGAATTAATTGCATCAATTCATTGTCGGCCAGTAGTGATAATCAATTAATTACAAGAGTAATGTGCACGGTTTTATGCAATTCTAAAATATACTTAGTGTATGAATAATTTTCTAAAAGAAAAATAGACTCTGTTAAATAATTTAATAATTAAAAATCAATGTAAACTTTAACAAACATATAAAAAGTGAACACCCTGAATAACTTTTGATCTGAGGATCAATTGTTAAAATAGTGATTACAAAAATAAAATGTATTTATTTAAATATAATTCTGTGGAAAAAATAAATTTTAAAATTTATTTATTTGTTTTTTAAATAATAGTTGGAAAGAATTTGAACTGTGAGGTAAACAAGCTTTTGCACCTTTTTAACGAATGTAATTTTAAATATCAAAGTACGAAAATCGAATGAAATAAGTAGAAAAGTTCCTCAAATCAAATCTTTAGCATCACTTATCAAATTTTAAAGAAGTAGTACATTTTATTTCCCAAGAGCTACTTACCAAGTTATTTAAAATTTCATAAATCGCGAAAAAAAGTTGTGCTTGAAATCAAATTGGTTAAAATAATTTAGATATTCGTACACATCAAACTTCAAATTGTTTAACATTCTATTTAGGAAATAATAAATCATTATTAAAGGTTACTTTTTTGCATGGAACTAACTTTGGATAAACGACTAATTGTACAACATTTTCAAGAGTCTGCTGCTTAAAACAAAAGCAATCGAATAATTTCTGAGTTATTCAATTTTTGAAAAAAAATTGTAATCTTAAATGGCAAGATACTAAACTTGAACGAAATCAATCGAAAAGTTCTTGAGAATTCAAATTTTAAATAAACGAATTTTTTCAATTTTTTAAAATCTATTTGTTTTTTAAAAAGTAAATTTCATAGGTATAATGAGCTTAGTAATTACCATATAAAATAAACTTCCGATTTGAAAAAGAAAAACTTTTTCTTAAATTTTCATATAGAAACACCATAAATAAAGAATTTTTAATGTGGTATACAATTGTAATAAAAATAATATATCGATATATGTGAAAGAAATGATATTTACCGTTATTATTGTAAAGTTTAAAAGTCGGTTGATTTTCATTTTGTAGTGAAGTGATTCTTATTTGACATCACAACTGGAAACACGTCTCTAAGTGCAATCTTTATAAAACCTTGCTTTACTCGCATTATAATATGACTTTGACAAAGGACAAAATGAATCATAAAGCTCATAACTATAAATCATAACTCTAAATTTCTTAAATCTGATTTTTACTGCATGTGAAAATTCTTTTAGAGATGGTTTATGGTATATAAATTGTTACCTAATGTACTATGACTGTATAAATATTTGACCGGTGGCTACTGCTTTTAAGATGATTCATTCCATTTGATGTAATGGTTACGGGTAATTTATAGTTCTTGAAAGACTTAAGAGTACAAAAGTTGACGCTGTTTCAACAAAAGCTTAATGATTTTCCTTTGTAAGTGAAAAGATTATTTAATATGTTGCAACAAAAAATGATATAACTGCGATATGGGGATTTCATTTCGAGAAGCCGAAACATTTTAGTAACAGCTGCGGAGAATAAACAAATAATTTATTTTTAATATTGTTTTAAGAAGACTGCACTGAGAAAAAAATTATGGTGAAAATCACCAGAATATGGTAAAATTTAACGCGTTTCTGACTCTTTGAAAACACTAAAAAGCTCGATATAAGTTTCACAGAAGCGTTTTGGTAATAATTTTGGCAAAATAAACTATAAAATATGGTTTCACAATATGTGATGAACTGTGGTAAACGTGGTAAAATTTGGTACTTTACCATGATACCTTAGATAATGGAATGAAAAGCATTATTTCGGTTAGATTTAATTTTCAGTTTTGTGTGGTGTTGCTATGAGTTTGAAACTCAGAATTTCCGTTCAATAGTTACTATATGAACGGAAAAATTACCAAACGAATGGTTTAAATTCTGTATATTTCGTTTTTTATTACTGAATTCTGGTTTTTCGTTCACCTCAAATGTCATTACCATGCGGTGCGGTAATTTTACCTGAATTTTTTTTCCGAAGGGCTATGCAATTTTTTTTGTACCATGGCATCATTCCTGTTTTTTTTTTTTTTTTTTTTTTTTTTTTTTTTAAATTTATAAATTTTATTATAACCCCCATATTTCTTAATAATCCCACTTTTTAGACACTTAATCAGAACTCGTTCCCCATATATCTCCGTAGTCCTCTTGTTATGGGTCTCCCCATTTTTCCACAATTTTATAACCATAAATTAGATTTATAGATTGGAAACTATCTTGTAAGAGTATTTTTCCTTAATTTATTAAATTTAAAAACAAAGTTATATTCTGCAAAGAAAAGACACACTGCAATAATAGAAGAGACACAATCAATTTTTGACAAGTTTTTTAATTTCTCAATAAATACTTAAAGGATTATTTTTTAACTTTTGAGGTGCTAAGTTCATGCAAGTTTTAATACTTAGCAATAAGTTTTAAAGCTTTCAGAGGTTTGAAAGACCTAGTTTAAATTACGAAAGAAAACAAGTATTTTTGGACACCCTATGCCAGAAAATCAAGCAGTTAGCTTGTAACTTATACAGATTACTTTAGTTTCTACTTTTAATAACTGCATAAAGTTTCGTAAACCTAGAGAAATAGTTATTGAAATATGAACATTTTTATAAAAAATTAATTTTTTCGCCTTACGTTTTTTTGCTATAACTTCATAAATATTTAATGGAATTAAATAAAGATTTTGGAGTAATTTAAGATTAATTACAAAATTATTGATTCAAAATTTTAAAAATATTCGTTTAAAACTGTGCAAGATCTGAGTATTTAAGCTGGGTTTTTTATACTGTACATGCGCAAAAATTATTTTTAAAAAAAAATTATTATTTTGTAAGGAATTGTAATTGACATCTAATGATAAAAGCTTTATTTGAATATCTCAAAAATTTTAAACTGTTTTAGGCAATTTTCTAAGTAGTTTTTGTACTTTTTAAAAGAAAACTTAAAAGGATAAAATTATTTATCCCTTTGAGTTTTAAAATTTACTCAGCATTACATTTTAAATTAAAAAATTTATTTACCTTCTAAATTTTAAAATTTATTTACCTTTTAAATTTTAAAAAGTATAAGTAAATTTTAAAATTTGCTTATACTTTTTAAAATTTACTCTTATTTTGTACTCAGTTTTAAAATTTTAAATCAACAGTTTCGTAATTAATCTTTAATTGCTTCAAAAGTTTTGGTTAATTCCATTGAATATCTATAAAATTATAACGGAAAAACGTAAGGTGAAAAAATTTATCTTTTACAAAAATGTCCATATCTCCAAAATATCCATATTTACAAAAATGCTCATAAATATTTATTCTAGGTTTACGAAACTTTATGCATTTAATAAAAATAACTATCAAATAATCGATACAAGTAACAAGTTTTTTGCTTGATTTTCTGGTATAGGGTGTTCAAAAATACTTGTTTTTTTCATAATTTTCTGTAATTTATTACTGAAAACTTTGAATCTCAATGCTAAATATGAAATATCGCATGAACTAAACACCTCTAAAGTTATAAAATAATCTTTTAAGTATTTCTTGAGTAATTTTTAAAAATATCAAAACCTGATAGTGTCTTTTTCATTATTGTAGGGTAGTGTATATGAGCAATTCTACAAATAAACGCCAATTAGGCGGCCAAAAAAAAATTAAAATTTTTTTGGGAGGCACACTATTTCTACATGAATTTTTTTCTCTTTTACACCCTAAACAGGCAAGAAAAAATCATGAACATGGAAATTTTTCTTTGTGACATACTTTAAATGTGACATACTCTTTCTGACATAGTCAGATAAATCTGAGCCATTTATTCAGATAAAACGATTTTTACATAAATATAATATTATTATAATGTCTCTCTAACATGTATTTATAGAGATTTCGTACTATAAGATTATATTTTAGTATAAAAAAAAAAATTTAATCAAAGTTCCTAAATTGAAAAAATCGGGAAAAATTTAAAATTGGTATTTTGTCATTTAAAGTATGTCACAAAGAAAAAATTTCATGTTTAATATTTTTTCCTGCTTTTTTAGGGTGTAAAAAAAAGAAAATTCATGCAGAAATAGCATGCCCCCCCCCAAAAAAAAAAACATTTAATTTTTGCTTGGCTGCCTAATTTGCGTGTATTTGCAGAATTGCTCATATCGTCGCTTTGAAACTAACCGTAGTAAATCGAAAAATGAGATATTTGAGTCATTTTGTGTAAAAAAAATCACCCTTTTAGAGAAACAAAGTGTTATCTTCATAAATCCATAAAATTAATTTAGAGAGCAGATAAATCGTTATCGCATTGGCGCGATTAGCATTAGCGCGGAAAGTTAGAAATTGCTCTCCTGAAAAACTTGCTTTTTTGAGTTACCACGGTTTAGTTTCAAAGTGACGATATGAGCAATTCTACAAATAAACGTCAATTTTCATGCTAAAATACAATATTATAGTATGAAATCTCTATAAATACATTTTAGAGAGAATAATAATATTATATTTATGTAAAAATCGTTTTATCTGAATAAATGGCTCAGATTTATCTGAGTATGTCAGAAAGAGTATGTCACATTTAAAGTATGTCACAAAGAAAAATTTCCATGTTCACGATTTTTTCTTGCCTTTTTAGGGTGTAAAAAAGAAGAAAATCCATGTAGAAATAGTGTGCCCCCCAAAAATTTTTAAATTTTTTTTTGGCTGCCTAATTGGCGTTTACTTGTAGAATTGCTCATATATAAGACACCCTCTGGCTGAGTGTTAGCACTTCTTGCCACAGGTCCTAGGTTCGTTCCTCTAGCCGGGCATAGTTCATTCAGCCTTTCATCCCTTCAATGGGTCGATAGAATGAGTACCAAGCATGCTTGGAGAATAAACACTAGGAGTTCTGCCTTCGGTTGACCAACCAACCGGAACATCTAGTCCTACAAACCAGAGAAAAAGGTCAAGAAAATTGTGATTGGCACAGTAGGCCTTGGCCCTCCATGGGCTGTTAAGCCACTGAGTTTTAGTTTAGTTTAGTGTCTATATAATACGTGTATGCCTGTGCTTCTCCAAAACCAATTGTAGTAGGGTTGCGAAACTAGAACCTTGGGAAATTCGACTAAAAACTATAATTACTTCGTTCTGGGATACGCATATACATGAAAAACTCATTTTTACACGTTCTAGAAGAACATGTAAAAGTGATTTTTTTTTCTTCATATCTTTAGAATTACGCAATGCTGCTAATTAAACTGCAGGCTCTTCCTCTTTTTATAGTTCAGCAGTGACTGATAGTTAAGGCGCGGTTCCCAGCAGATCACCGAAGTCAAGCATCGCTGGCTGCGGTCAGTGTGCGGGTGGGTGACCACTTGGATCAGTCGGCGTAGGGACCGAGGGTGAGCGGTATCGGTCCTCGTTAAACTGTTCTACCGTAAAGTGTTCGAATTCGCGTGCAGGTGGTCGGGCTACCGAAGCGGGGGTGCCATCCCCTCTGCAGAGGTTCAAAATTGTGATGGCATGTCTTCGGATCATCCTCCGGGATGTTTCCCAGACCGTCGCCAATAGCCCATTATGCAGCTCTAGGCACGACGTTAATGAACTACTGCAACAACAATCTTCTTTTAATCAGTTATTTAAAAGACTAGGAGGCTCCATTTTCTGCTCAAGACTGCTCTGCATTCATCATTGTTTTTGGATTTTTTTTTTCATTTAAAGTCGATAATTTCCGCAAAAAGAACACGTTGTTAATTAAATATGCAATTATTATAATCGTATCCAACGACATTTTATTTACTAATCGTAGCGATGAAATGAGTGATTACCTAATTTTGAAAAAGATTCAATTTCACTTAAAAAAATTTATAGTTAGGATTACAAATTGTTTGACATAATAAGAATATATAAAAGGAAACTGTGCTTTTATTCATGAAGGAAAGATAACAGTTTAAATTGGAACTAGTACCCTCAATTAAAATTTTAAAAACTCCAATATAAATGTTAAGATTTAGGTAGCAATATCGAATCTCTTCTTTTTTTTAATTATTTTATCATGAAATCAAACACGAGCTTATAACATAAAGATCTCGGGAGAGGATAAAGTTTCATACAACAATCGATAACTTTACAAGAACTCTAATGCAACTATTATATCATTCAGAAACTATAAAAGCTATATTTGGCTCTTTTTTTTATAAAGTCATTAATCTATTATATGTCGAAGTAATGTTTCGATAAAATGCTATTTTTATTAAAGTTTTTTTCCTGTACAAATACTTACAATAACACTATAAA